CCCCCCCCCCAAACACATACACACCTTTAATCGCTTTTATTTTTTTTTCTCTCTTGATTCAGCTGCTTCCTAAAAGGTTGGATTGGGAAGGAAATGAGCATTATAGAAGTTACGAAGAATTGGTGAGAATTTTTTTTAACCCTTTTAATTGAGATGATAACGTTGGTGTTCGAGCTTCTACTTTTAAAACTAGGCCCGCAGCTTTAACTCCCAGCTCCATTCCGGTTCTAGTAACATGGGGGCAAACTGTTATTTTGGGGGTGTGAGGGCTTGGAAATGGCCTGTAATTTGTTCGCATCCGACTAGCAAGCCCACGAGCGGCGCCTCCGATTGCGGATATTGTTTACATAGCCGAGGTGGAGCCTGGCGCCGGGCACCGGCGCTCGCCCCTGCCTACACACGGCTGCAGCCAATGGCGAGCAGCGTTGCATTTCGGCGTTCCGGGCGCGGGTTTGTTAAGCGCGCTGTGATTGGCCGGTATTTATTTTGTGGCTGGCCCCCTCCTTCCCTTCCCTCAGCAGGTTGGGAAGCGAAGTCGCCCTCGCAGGCGTCGGGGGTGCCAGTCCTGGCGCCCTCGGCCTCTCCCTGGCAGCTTGCTTGGTCTCTCAGCCAGAGAGAGGTGCGAGGGGTCTCCGAACGGTGTGGACGCGAGGCCTTGTGCCGCTGGCTGTAGCAGAACTCGGTGTGTTCCTTCTGGCCATCTCTGAATGCAAAATATATATATTTTCCGTTAATGTTTTATTTTGCTGCTGCTTAAAAACAGAAAAATATGTTTGGCAGTTAAATCTTGTGAAGCTGTGGCTTCTGCTGATGTTTATGGAGTTTGCTGATGGGCTGCATCATTCTCCTTGATCTCATCTTCTTTAAACAAATGTTTGTTCTTCCTGTGTCTACTTTTCTTGTTTTTTATTTATTTTTTCCTAAAGCTTGAGGCATTCTTCCTGACTGAATTCTCTTTTACCGGTTAGTTTGCACAAACGAGATGATTTGAAAAATCTCGTAGGAGTTTTTGCGTAGAGGAGAAAGTTAAGAAAATGAAACGAAATTAGAAAGAAGTTTCATTCTATTTGAAGTGCTGAATAAAATGACAACCTGAATTCCAGTTCTCTTGCATTTCACTTGCTGGTAACTGGTTGGTATGGTAAATGAGCTTTTAAATTAATGCTTTCAGTCAGTAGATGGAAAGCGAAGTCTTGCTAAACAGGAATTCTTTCAAGCTCTGACTTGAATTTAGGAAATGTAACAGTGGTATTAGATTTTGAAGTTTTTAAAGTGTTTTTTGTTATAGATTTTTTTTTTTTACCTCTGTTGTTCTGGAAAACGGTGATAAAGTTGGGATATGTTGCTATACATAAATTTCTTTGGCTACAGTGGATTTGTTTTTTGTGTGTATGTACAGCGTTCTCCCTTTTTCTCCAGTCACTTGAAGGAAATACATCATGCTAATATTTCAGAATAAATATAAAAGAACCTTTACAGTGGATTTGCTTTTTGTGTGTATGTACAGTGTTCTCCCTTTTTCCCCAGTCACTTGAAGGAAATACATCCTGCTGATATTTCAGAATAAATATAAAAGAACCTTCAGAAAATATGTTATATTTATTCTGAAATACTAGCATCACAAATATATTTCCTTTAGAAATCTTTAGAAAATACATTTTCTGTTTTTGCGAGTCCTTGAGAACTACTTGTTGTCCAGCTGGTCCCACCTTCTTGTTCAGTTTTCCAGGATTGTGGTGCAGTTATTTCTTTTTGTCTGTCACAGAATCAGAGCACGAGTTTTAAATAAACATTCTTTCTAAAATCTGAGTGAAATTGTCTGGAAAGTATCACCAGGTTTTGTAAACCTGCTGGCCCCAGGGACTGCTCGTGGAATATGTACTTCCTGATAATGGCACACAAACAAGATGGTTTATAATGCTTGACGCTGCATGTACTGAGTGTTTTGGCTGGTACTACAGAGGGCCATTTCAAACAGCAAGCTCGTTGGAAGGAAATTATGAAAAAAATACGACCTTTAGATTGCTCTGAAGTATATTTTCTCATACTTTAGCTTGTATTCACCTGGTTCATGTGGATATGCTTGGCTCTGTGATCATATTGACTGTTTTGCTACTGTAACAAAACAAAATCCTCTCCATCCTATAAGCTTTATGTATATTACTTGTTTTTCAGCTTGAGTTTTTACTATTAATACAATCATTGCATTCTGCTTTATATTACTCTTAAATATGAGTATTAATGGTGTTTTAACCATTTTGAGTTGAAAAGAGTTGAAATTTTTTCCTGGCCTTCTTAAGTCATGAGCAGTTGTGGAAGGTTTTTACTTGTATACTGGCATAAGATATAGTTATATCTGGGCTACTTCTTGTTGGATAGATTTTACCTGCCAACACGTAACTTTTTTTTTTTTTCCTACTATTCTGATTATGAGATTGATGTGGTCAGAAATTCTTGTTTATATTCAGTCAGTGCTCTGATGGGATAGCATCATAAGCATGAGCCTGTCCCTGAACTCAATTGCGCAGGGTCACATCCTGCATTGATGTGGGTTTGTCTCTCTTGTGCCATCGGATGGGGAGTAGCTGCTTGGCTGTAATACAGCCAGGTAGGCATGGGGCTGCTTCTACCTGCTTGATTCAGACCTTTCCAGCAGTTTTGAATTCGTGTTGCTGGTGATTTGTTTTACTTAAGTGTGTGTGAACTTCACTCTGTGCATTTGAACTCTCCCTTATTGTGGTTGATAGGGTAGTTGAAGAAAGATTTGCTTTCCATCAAACTTTGAGAAAGGAAGACAGTGAGGAGTAAAACACACATATAGTTTTGGTGGAGACAATGGAGTGTGTGGGAGTGTATTTTTTCAGTTGTTACATGTAGATATTATGGAATCATTCTTGAATGGAGAGATGACTGCCTTGATCCTCTTGATTAAGGAGGTAGTCTTTTCCTATGTAGTAGTGGTTCCTCAAGGAAACTTTTTTTCCAGGGTGATTGTATACGTAATCAGACCTGTTAGACAAGCTTACTGAACAAGCGATGAGCAACTGAAGTACTAGTTGCATCAATTCTTGCACTTGATTACATTTTTTTCCATGACCTTGAGTTATGAGAGTATGGTTATTTGTTTTACTCTTTCATTATTTATTTATTTTTTTCCTTCAGGGTGAGTTTGGCAAGGACAGTGATTATATTATGCCATTCAGAAATAGATGCTCTTTGTGTGAATATTTCAGATTTTTCAGTAGTAAAATGCTGATGTTCAATAAGCAGCTTTAATACAGCAGTCCTATTCTTGGAGATTGTTTACTAAGTTCAGTAGATAAGTGCTTTATAGACTTGACTTTGGTCCCCAAGTTGAACTTAGGTATATTATACCTAATTAGGTATGTTTAAATATTGGTGTGAATGCTGCTATTTTTAGGCTTGTCTATTCTGAATGTACTGTATATGTGTTTAAACCTTAAATATCTGTCAGGTGCTATCGAACAAACATGTGGCTCCAGATCACTTGCTACAAATTTGCAAGCGTATTGGCCCTATACTGGATAAGGAGATACCACCCAGCATTTCGAGAGTGAATTCCTTACTTGGTGCAGGGAGGCAGTCATTGTTACGTACAGCAAAAGGTATGAATTGTTTATTATTTGAAATGGGCATGATACATTTTAATAAGTATGTGCTAAGGACTTTTGGAATATTGGATTGGCAGTGAGCTTTCACTGAAAGCCCTCACTTCTGTACTCCCATTACTCAACCAAGACACCAATGATATGTGTATTAGTAGTGTAACTCTATATTGATTTATGTGAAAATGAGGTCTTAAGTTATATAACAGAAAATGCTGGTGCTGTAAGTGCTGAAGCCTCCAAATGCCACTAGTTTTTAGCATTACTGCAGTATAATGAAACTTTAGGACAACAACACTACTTTTCTGACATCTCCTGACACTGAGACACAGTCTGATATCAGCCCATTTTTTTTCTTTGAATGGGGTAGCTGTATTACTCTGATGCAAGTCAGAGAGGAGCATCATTTTTCTGTTTTATTTTTTTTTGTTATGTTTTTAATTAAATGGCATCAAAGCTAGTGTGTACTTATGTAAGCACAGTTGTGTACTTACGCAGAAACAAAGCCATTGTCCGTAATCTAAGGTGAATAAATACAGAACTGTAGATACGTAACTTGTTATTTGATATTTATTAGATAGACTTAAGCTTTAGGCTTTTTTTCTTTTTTTTTAAATATATGTTTATATGAAGTTCTGTTGTGTAGCTAGATGCCATGATACAAAGGTGGTTTAGCGGACATTTTTTTTTTTCTCTCCCCACTGAATGACTGTGATATTCTCAAAATCAGCCTTGTAAGTTTTTCAGCACAAGCTTGTCAAATTTTAATGAAGGGAAATTTTCTCTTAAGCAGTGACTTAGTCGTGAAAGCTTTAAGTGCTGAGAATGCACTGAGAATGAGTAGAAAATTCCAGTCAAAAAGTTAGTTTTGAGTTATCTGAGTCGCAGGCATATTGCCATTTATGAGTAGTTTCAAAGATTTATTTGTTGCTCTATTAAATTGATAAAAATGCTCTCGCTGTCCAACCATCCCTACTGCCTCCCTTTTGCAGTTGTTCGTGAAAAATTTGAGGGCTTGTGAGTTTATGGTTTTTCAGTTGTTAGGTTCTCAAACATAATGTTGAAACTTTATCAGATACTTCTGTTGTGTTTTGGAACAGTAGCTGACATGGAAGTTTTAAAATGAATATTTTAAAAGTATTTTTTTAAAAAAGTATTTAGAAGTATTTATGACTAACTTCAACTAGTTGATTTTAAAGATTGCAGGAACACTGTTTGGAAGGGCTCTGCATTTGCTGCTCTTCACAGAGGAAGACCTCCTGAAATTCCGGTGAACTACGGCATGCCACCGAATCTGGGTGAGCCTGCAACGTGCGCCTTGACGCGGCTCTCGTCTGCGCAGGACTGCACCTCCCAGCTCGCTCTGGAGAGCATCCTGTAGATCAGGCACAGTTGTTTGGTGGGGGGTTTGAAGGTCTGCTCACTGCTCAGTGACATGTTGGCGTCTAGGTTACACCTTTATCTTCTATAAAGGCTGTCTGTTAAGTAAGTAAACCTACAGGAAATGCAGATGAGTGGCCTTTGGATAGAAGGGTTCTTGTAAGGCTTAATGAATAGCAAGCCATGGGAAAGTAAGGACAGCCGTTACCACATCATATTTACAGAAGGAAGTTTTGTTTGGAGCAAGTTTAAAATACTGTCCTGCTTTTATATATAGAAAAATTACAAGTTTAAAAAGCCAGATTACCTCTATGAAATCTCAAAATCACTTTTAGTAAGTCTTTAATATATTACTGAATGATGAATGACATGATGATTATAATACACTTTTTTGTACATCAGTGCATTAACTCATTGGTCTCTTTATGTTTTAGTGGAAGTATATCGAGCAAAGCAGCTAACTGGATATGCAAAATTCAGTACTTCATTTCCAGGATGTATGTATCAACATATAAAGATGCACAGACGAATTCTTGGACATCTTTCTTCTGTATACTGTGTTGCATTCGATAGGACTGGACATAGGATATTTACTGTGAGTTGATAAATCTAAATATAAAACTAACTCTAGATGGATACAAGGAAAGGAACTTAAATGCACCTTACTTTTTGTGGGTAGATAACAATAATGTGTTAAAATATAGTTGATTGGTTCCATTTCAGTTCTCAAGTGAAACAACTTGATGTATTTAACAGTGAGAAGAATGCAAGACATTGCTGTACTTAATACTTATATGTTCAGTGTGTCCCATACTCCTTATGAAGTGGTAGAGGAGATGTTCCTTTCATGGCTCAGTACTTTTATTTAGCTGCCAGTACTGTAAGGAACCCTGCCAAATTATATCCAGGTGTTCTGCATTATGTGGGGTACATTTGTGATGATTGTAGTGTATTCCTGAACTAGTGTTTAAACACTTCTCTTTATTATTAGTCATATGATTTACTTTTTGCCAGCGTGCATAAAACATGCATAGTTTGAAATAGATTTGTCATTTGCCAAGCTTTGGCGGCGGGGGGAAATAATATAGCTGGATTCCTTAAAGGGAATGTGACTCACGGTATCCTGAATGTTTTATGAACTCTTTTCTAAGCTTAACATATATTTCTCTTCAGGGCTCAGATGACTGTTTGGTAAAAATTTGGTCGACTCATAATGGTCGGTTATTTGCCACATTGCGAGGACATTCAGCGGAGATTTCAGATATGGCCGTCAACTACGAAAACACCATGATTGCAGCTGGAAGCTGTGATAAAATGATCCGAGTGTGGTGCCTCAGAACTTGCGCGCCAGTTGCTGTCCTCCATGGACACACAGGGTCCATTACCTCATTGCAGGTATGTGCTGAGTTAATGCATGTATCCTGTGGTCCTGAGATATGCTATGTACTGTTAGAGGTTGTACTAAGCAGACAGTACTTATTTTCTTTGTATGTAGCAAATGAGATATTAAAAATAGGAAAGTAAAATTGCACTCTCTAGTTGCATACATTACCAATTCTGATTTCTGTCAGAAAAAAGTCCTTTAAGCTCTGTAAATGAAAATCAGTACTTAAAATACAAGAATGGTGAACATGTGTGGTAAGAGCAGTGTGTAGTGAAGCAAATGTAATATTATTGTTTCAGTAGTCCATAAACTTTCTATTCTGATTTAATTTATACTTTTGGTATAGTATAGGTGTCTGCCCCCCACCCCCTCTTTTTTTTCCCTACGTTTGTTTCTCACTCACTTCTAATTAAATAGCACTAGCATAGGAAACACTGTGTAGTCAGCCAGACTGCTATGTTACGAATGTTAAAACTTCTGTGTGTAACTTAAATGTCACAAAATTCCGTTGGTCTTAAGGAGCATATATGTATCTGTTTAAGTTTCGATATACTGAAGCATGAAGAGTGGAGATGTGTAAGAAGCAGCCGATCCATGAAACTCAAAAATCAAGAAGTTTCACCAACAGCGTGGTGTAGAAAGTTTAAAGATGTTTGATTTAAAAACTGTAGAAAATATGAAATAATCTGAGTTCAAAAAAGATGCAGTTGCATCCATTTGGAAAGTTAAGAGGCAGTTTTAAATAGTGAAACTTAAGAGTGATGGGATGCCTTTAGGTTAGCTGGCCATTGTACTGGTGCTAGGGAAATAACTCATTTTCTTGGTTGATTTCTGAAGTTGGAAAACAGTTACTTGAAAACTCTAGATTAATAGCACCTTCAATCTTTTGTATTGCGACTTCTTGAAGGTGAAAGTTTCTATTTGTGTTTGTGGAGAAAAGTACTTTGTGGTTAGTGTTACTAGGTTGAGCTGTCACTCTCCAAGCGCACATCTTTTTGATAAGTACAAATGCAAGGGATTGGTATTCTTTTTTTCTATCAAGGTTGGCATGTGAATAGCAACTAATTGTCATTTTTTTAAATGTCACTGGTTTTCAGATGACTAGAATTATTTCACTATCAAAATTATGTCACTATCTGCATAAATATATAAATATCCATATGTAATACTGTGTGTGTGTGTATATATATATATGTGTGTATAAATATATATATAGGATCAAAAATATTTAACTTAAAAAAAAAAAAAAAGAGAAACCTGCTTATGGAACAAGTTTCTTGCCTCCCTTCAACTCGTGACTGGAAGATAGTTAAAAGAACTCTTGAACTCCCGAAATTAAAGATTAAGATTTCAGAGGAGCTACATTAACACTGAGGAATGTGCCAAAATAATTAGTCAGGGTATTTTTCTTAAGAGGTAATATGCTTGGTGGTTGTTTGGAGGCAGCTCCCTGTAATTTTGAGCTGTTGGAACTGGAGAGACTTTCGAGAGGTGGAACATTTGGTGGTTGGTATTCTAATACAGTATGTTAGTTCTTCTGCTATATGCTTTGTATTTTAATTGCAAAAATATAACTTATTTCAAAAGTGCAGATGTGTATTCGCGTAATATTTATGTATCTAAATTAGAAAAAGTAGCTTATTATCCAGACTTTTGTTGGATTTGCTTCTGAGACACAGGCCTGTATTTGGAGAGATGAAGAGTTTCTACCTAGCAGGTTGTGCAGTTCAGTACAAAACAATTCATGCAGTTCTTTTCCCTTAAAAAAAAAAGGGGGGGTGGATTTTTTTTCTGATAGTGTAGTGAGTTTGTCTTTATAGCTCTTAGATATTTTCATTATCACTTTACTAAGGTTTAAGGTTTTTCACTGTAGTAGTAGTAGTAGTAGTAATAGTTGGAGGACAGTTTGAGCACCTTGTGTCCTGTGTCCTTTTCAGAAGGAGTAGCTCTAAGCAATACCTTAAGCATGTGTGAGGAATTCCTATAAATTAGTATTTGATGCTGGGTTGCACCTTTTCAAGCTGCCTCATAACTGGTGCTCTGTTTAATTAAATAATTTAAAAAGTGACCCTGACTAGTGTAACTTCCTTTTTCTTTTCTTCCATCCTCTGTTATGGTTGTTACTTCATATTGAAAATTTTCAGTGAATGATGCAAAAAATAAGCAGTGAAAATTTGACGTTTCTCAACAACTGATTTTAATTGTTTTAATGAAAATACCTAAAACAATTCAAGATTTTACATGAGCATTTTTATAAATTCCTATTCAGATTCTAGATATCTCTTTATGGACTTGATTTTACTTACTTTTTCTTCCCCCCCAATATTTAGTTTAGTCCAATGGCTAAAGGATCCATGCGGTATATGGTCTCTACTGGCGCTGATGGAACTGTTTGCTTTTGGCAATGGGACATAGATTCCATGAAATTCAAGTACGTAACTGGGTTGTTAATTATCTCTTTCTATGCCATAGTCTTTTTGATTGAAATAGTGTTGCCTGATATAAAATAATTTTATATTAGAACAACTGTTTTGAAAATGTCTGTACTTTAGAGGGTGAAAGATTTTGTTTTTAATTCATTAATGATTTTAAAAATAGCGGAACTGCAACAATGGCCGATAAGAGAGATGGTTTCATCTGAAGAACCTTTAGGAGGAGATTATTTTAATTGTGTTTTTAATTATTCTGCCTATGACATGAATCTAGTGCACTGAATGAGATGCAAATATTGTTTAAATAAGATTATGAGGATGTAATCATCGGTGGTTCTCAATGCAAAATTCTCATGACTTTGTGTTTGTGTGCCTTTTATCATACAAATACAGATAAGATGATTCTTCTAATGGAATTGCCTGGTAAATAGAAAATGCTCACATTGGAGAGCAGAAAAACAATGAGAAGAAACCTCCAATGCTTTTAAGTGGCACAATGTGTATGGGTTTTTCTACCTAGTATAGTTCTTACTCTTAAGTAGCTACTTTATATGAGATTCTAGTACACAGTCTCCCAGTTGATTTGACATCCTTTGTGAACAGGAAGTTAGTCTGTTTGCACAGTGTACTGTGCAAGTACTTGTACAAGTTTTAGTGTTCTAAAACTTGTATTTAACTTTCTGCGCTGCAAAATCTTACAAATTTCCAAAGGGTTCTGTAATGTGATATCTGGTATACCTTATGCTCTCTTCCATTGGAATTTTACGATCGGAGGACAGTGGTTGTGTACTTCTGGATATATCGTGGAAGTGGTAAATTATACTGAAAGATGAGGGAAGACATACATTTTCTGCCGTGTCACATTGTCCTTGCTAGGTAGTACCAGCTTACCCAGCATTTTGCAGAAAAAGTTGTCTGTGAGCTTTAAGTATTGTGTGTGCATGTGTACACACTCATTTTGAAAAGCAAACTTTACGTTTGTCGTCTCCCATACAAGTTGCACAGATGCTACTGTGTATATTCAAGAAGTAGCAATTATGTCAAATGTGCTAGAAGAAACATACTAGTATGTTTTAAGAGGCTTATAAAAGCTAAGTTTTGCATGGCGTGTCCTGTTTCAAGCAACTTTTCTTTTTAAGCAATCGGCCACTGAAGTTCACAGAGAAGCCTAGACCGGGGGTTCAGATGCTTTGTTCTTCGTTCAGTGTAGGTGAGTAACGTACAGGTTGGTTAGTGGTTTGTTCTAGCATTGTGGTTTCTCCTTTCTCCTTGAAGAGTTTATAGCTGGCTGGTTATGGCAACTTAAAATATGCAGATAACGGTGATGTGTAGTATGTAATTGTATATATGTGAATTGTTATCTTAAGTTTATCATAGGCTAGTGTGGCTTACAGTAAAAGATGGCTAAACTAAATGGTTCAGTTTTCCATTTGCTGCTGGCAGCCTACAGAAATAAACAAATATAAAAAGTCAGTAAAGAGGGTTATAAAGTAAATGAGCAAGAGGTGATTGTTAAGCCCTTAGTATAATGTTATGCTTTTCCTTAGCATAATGTTTAGAGCTTCCCAAAAATCTGTCTCTTAAGACACCACCGTCATCAGAAGTGGCAGCGGTTACCTAGATTAGTTCCTGATTCTATGCCAGGCTGTATACAGGAATAGTCAGAAACATACCTCCTTACTGAATCCATAAATAAATCTATAAATGTGTGTTTTTTAAGTGATTTTCCTGCCGCAATTGACATTTATGCTACAATAATAGGATCATGGTGACTTGATGTGTTCTGCGTAATTACTCTGGTGCACAATTAATAATATTAAGCGTTTCAGCGTTCTCTTAATTGTGCATTTTTTACATCTTTGTAATATTGAATGCGACTTTGCATTTTTCATATGTCTGAAAGCTTTAGGGAAGGAGGGGAAGAGAATTTCATTCTACCTTTGTATAGCAATGGAAGGCCATAGGAAAATTGATAATCTTCAGGCTTTATTTATAGGTATCTGAGAAATGTTGATGATCTGTTTTAATTGCTTACCTACCAGCATAATTATGTTTGATTTTTAGGTGGTATGTTTTTAGCAACTGGGAGTACAGACCATGTCATCAGAATGTATTATTTTGGCTCTGAAACGCCTGAGAAAATAGCTGAATTGGAAAGTCATGCTGTAAGTAAGACTGTTAACTCCAGTAGCTAGTTGATCAAAGCATTGTTAAAATTGCAAGTTAATGTCACTAATGGGTTTGTAGTTCTTTTAGTGAGTGTTTTTGAGAATTTGTACAGAATTTCAACCAGTAGTCTCAAAATACGAGTTGGCTGTTTTAATGAATGGAAGGATAAAATGTAAAAGTATACTTGATATCATTTTAACCATTCATTAGATTATAGAATTGATTGATATTGATTAAGCCTTATCACTGTATGCAGAGAAGACTTTCAGCTCCAGGAGGTAATCTAAGCAGGGTATGCTATCTACTTCTTTTTTTTTCCCTCACTGTGATAAAAAAATAATTTTATATTTAAGGACTGTGTGAGTCAGTGGGAGAAACACATTACTTTGGATTATAATTGGTTTAGAATATTGGAAGTACACATCAAATTTCATTGAAAAAGTAGTTGATTGCCAAATTAATAGTAAACAGTTAAATTAGCACTTCATGTTTAGTGGGATGTTGTTTAAAACTTGCATTTTAAGTAGTGAATTCTGGTAAGCCTTTGAGATTGGTTCATCCTGCAGTTAAAACTTTTTGAAACTATAAATATATTTTTTTGTCATCTCAGATTTGTCAGAAATGTATTTCCTGTTTAAAAAATCTGATTTCTAACATGATTAACTTTTTCTCTTACAGGATAAAGTTGACAGCATTCAGTTTTCTAATAGTGGTGATAGGTATGTTGAAAGATACCCAAATGTAAATAAATGGTAGTTTGGGGGCGCGCAGAGTTAAAAATGTATTACTGTTTTCACGTGGAGATTTCCAGCAGGAAAATTCTACTTAGGTAGACACTTGGGCTAATCCAGGAGAATATTGTGCAATTTCAGTTAAATGCTTCAGCTTCCCATTGAACTTTGTTAGATTATATCTTTAAGTGGCTTTTTAGTATATGGAGGGATACTATCACTTTTTGGTTAATAATATATGTGTCTTATTAGTGCAACTGTCTTGGGGGGGAAAAAAAGGTATTTGTTGTGTAAATTGATTTGAAAATCTTAATCCATACTTGAAATGCAGTCATAAGGTACAGCATTCTTTTTACTGTTTTAAAAGCAAGATAGTTTTGACAAGAGCACTAGCCTGTTTGGTTAGGAAGTTAAAATTTTATTCCTTTTAAATATGTTTTTCTACAACTGTTCTTGTATTTGGCATACTGTGCTGTGCTGATCCGTCATGCTTGCATGGATTATCTTTAAAAGGCTGTGTGAAAAATTAGGAAAATGTGTCTGCTTTTGCTTGATAACACTTTCTATGGAAGGTATTTAGGTTTTTAAATTGTTAGTAGAATGAATCCATGAGTTTCCATTCTGTTGCCCTGATAGTCAGCAGTCTATGAAAAGGAACCTGAGTCACTGAGTTTTACAGCTTGTTATCTAAAGTCCCTCTTCTTGGTCTCTTCTATGCACTACTGTGGGTGGGAACCTCTCAAGCTGTACTAACCTGAACTGTTCCTGATGTTACATGTGAATTATTCTGAGACTATCAGATACTAATGAGTTGCTTAAAAACCTTAGTTAAAATACTGTAATTGAAAAACAGTTGATAATAGTTTTTGTAAAATGAGCTTAAGTAAGTTTGGAGCTTGCTTCTCTGATAGTCCTGTTGACAACTGTTGTGCTTCAGCTCATAAAATTTCCCTTTTTACTTCTGGAAAGAAGATTAACCAGAGGAAGCTGTAAAGATTCTTCTCAAACACAGATTGAAGATTTTGTCTTTATCAGTCTTTCATTGTAATGCTCTAAATTTTGTGCTTATGACTCTGTGATTCTGAAAAGAAGACTTTAAAATAGAAGTTCTTTAGAAGGGCTGATGAATTTTTTTGTTTTTAAATTTGTTCAAGGTTTATAAGTGGCAGCAGAGATGGAACAGCTCGAATCTGGCGTTTTGAACAAGCGGAATGGAGGAGTATTTTGTTGGATATGGCTGATCGATTACCAGGGTAGATAAAGTGTTGTCATTTTATCTGTTGCATGAAGTTGGAAAGTTTGAAAAAGCCGTCATACACATTGTCTTACAATGAGTCTTTGCAATATTATGATTAAGTGGTGTAATCTTTAGGGGAGGATTAATGATTTTCCAATGATAATAACAGCTTCTTAGATTTTTGTTTGCACTTGAATAAACACATCAATAATATTTAGCTTTCAAATGTAGATTTTGCCAAACTAACCACATGAACTTTTTATTTGATAAAGACAGATAATGTAAAACACAGCAACTCTTTTCTCTCAGGGCTTTTTGTAATATGGTAGGTGCAACTATTTTGGGTTAGCAAAGGTGAGGTAAATACTAAGCTCTTTCCAGGAGAGAGGATGACAAGTGATCAGTGGATTTCATCAAGAACTGATCCTGCAAACTATTTTTATTAGCATACTTTTGAAGTGTTCAAAAGAAACAATGAAATATGCTAGTGGCAGAAAGCATAAACAGCATCATTAGAGATGAAGAACAGGATTTTATATGTTGATGAATAAACCTGCATGCCTAGTGAGATTCAGTACTACAGAATGCCAGGTCACTTTTTGGAGACTTTTAGGTAGAAACTTTATGAATTTGGAATGGATTAGATACAGAACTCAAACTTAGTTGTACTAGTTTATCAGAGGATGATTGCAAGCTATCGGTGTGGTACAGCTATGAAAAACACAAGAAGAAATTTAAATATCTCTTTGAGGTAATATGTACCATCATAGTAGTGTATACAGCAGCAGGTTTCGTTGTAGAACAGAGTACTAGCTGACATGGTAAATAGTGTTACACGAAAACACCTAAAAGCCTGGTTCTTTCAGTCGACTGGAATGATGAAAGGAAGTGATATAGTATCCTACTATATATACCCTATAAATTTTTGGGATAGAAACAAGAGGAAATGGATTAAGGTTGATACAAAATATTGTCATAGTATTAATGCATTTATTTTGAGACTCACTTGGATTTCTCACTTAAAATGATATTATTGCTCCAAGTTTCTCAAACTTGTCAGGATAAGACTTGTTGAAGTTTCAACTTTCCTAAAGCCTTTGCTATTGATATTCTTCAAAATAAAAATATAAATTTTATGGGCTTTTATGTAGGGAACCAATTTTAGAAAACTTGAATATTCTGTTGCAGAATTGCTTACATAAGTATTAATTCTGTGATGGCATCATTATTCCCTTAGTATTTTTGTTGAATTATGTTTTTTCTCTAAACTAGACCATTTTCAAAAATTGTAAATATAAATTGTTCAACCCAAGAAGTACAGGCCTTTTTATTCAAAAATTGCAATTAATGGACAAAAAAATCCAGTAAAAAAAAAAAATGTCCCTTCCCTTATTCTTAGCTCTGGAAAACGGGTTATTCTGTATTTTGAGATTGAAATGGGCTAATTCAAAATATTTCATAACTGCACAACTCTTTTAAAGTAGTGATTCATCTTCAGAAGAAGACAAATTTATGAAGCCTAAAGTAACCATGATAGCTTGGAACCAGAACGATAACTACGTTGTTACGGCTGTGAATAATCATCTTCTCAAAGTGTGGAATTCCAGTACAGGGCAGTTGCTGCATGACTTGGTGGTATGTAATTTTGCATGTTTTTTTGGAATAGTTAGTCGTCTTTGAGTTGGTGACGTGCACGTGATGAGTTGATCATAATGAAAGCTCTACGAGGGTAGTAAAGCAAGTGTAGATTTTTGTTTTGTTTTAAAACCCAAACTGCTTGCTTTTTCTTTCTTTTTTTTTTCTCCTTTTAATAAACTTACCCTAACTACTGTGTTGAACTTGCTTCTCCTGCAAAATAAACAAATGTTTCAGATTGCTGTAAAATAACATACTCATCAATTTAGAATTGACTTTTTTTGGGGGGGGGGCGGGGGGGGTGTGTGTGCGTGTCCAAATTCCACATTTTTAAATCTGTTGGTTGCCTTGTTTGAATCTAGGAAGTGATTAAATTTAGAATGATGTGGTCTTCCTAGCTGCCTGGTTTTCCATCCTACTTGTTCTGTGGCATTCTGATTATAAGGGTAGCAATCCAGATAAAGATAAATATGCTGTGGAAAGCTGTGGCATTTCTGGAAGTCTTCAGTGGAGTGTTTTTTAAAGGCAGCTTAGAGGGAGTTCATTTTCCAAAAGTGTTGAGAGTGAGGAGGGGATGGCACAGCAAGTGCTTTAGGAGTCAAGTGTCAGTGTCCTGCTAATTTGAATTTCTCCTCTGTTTGCATGTGACTTGCAACTTTGAATTTTAGGGGCATGCAGATGAAGTATTTGTCTTGGAGACCCATCCTTTTGATTCCCGGATTATGTTGTCTGCGGGTCATGATGGCAACATCTTTATATGGGATATTACAAAAGGCACAAAAACGAAGCATTATTTTAACATGGTAAGACTTGTGTTTGTGTGTGTGTTGTTGTTGTAATGCTTCACTCCCCTGTGCCCCCCCAGATCAGCAGTATGTCCACATACTACTCTAAATTTTTATAATATTACTGTGCTACCAAGTGTGTCTTTCCCGCAACCCTGTTTTTTAAACCTGAAAAATTCATCTAAACCAGCAAAAGCCATGAATGAGTTCAGTTTCTCTTGAGATTTTACCTTTAAATTCCTCGTTTATAGCAACTGCACGTGTAGCTTAACCATGTGTCAGTTAAACAGCTTAGTGCTACAGTAAAGTGAGATTCTGCTTCCCTGGTCTACTCCAAGCTGCTGCTTTCATAGTCTGCCTCACTGGACCCTTTAGTGAGCTGCATCAGTTCCCTAGTCTGATGGAAGAGTGTTCCCCCACCCTTCCACTGCTAGTTTTTTCCTGTCTAGAGAATAACTCTTGCTGCTGTTGCATTATTGTTTGCTCAAAAAAAGTCTGAAAAAGTCGTCTTGAGTTTCTTTCCTTCAATCTAGATTGAAGGCCAAGGACACGGTGCTGTTTTTGACTGTAAATTTTCACCAGATGGGCAGCATTTTGCATGCACAGATTCTCACGGGCATCTATTGATATTTGGTTTTGGCTGTAGCCGGCCTTATGAAAAGGTAAGCTAAATTTCTGTTAGAACTATTAATGTTTCTAAGTGAAGATGTTAGATTAATTCATTTTGTTCCTTTAATATGGTATATGGAAAAACTTTTCCTCTGGGGAGAGGATCTAAATAAAGCTGACTTGTTGATGTTTTTGAGTTCTTTTATATTCATGGTTATGGCATGGCAAGAAAGTGTCATAAAATTCCCCCGAGAATAGCTTGCAAGAACTTTTTTCTGATGCATTTTCATCCTGAGCAGCTAATGTGCATGTTAATTGTTTAACCTTGTGATAAGTGACCTAATTCTTAGAGGTTCCCCCTTCTACTAGCTTAGCATAAACTGCTTTGTTTTGCATTTTAGTAACACATTAATGTTATCTGTACTAATTCATGCAAACATTAAAGCTTTAAGTTTCTAAATACATCTTCTAAAAATCTTTTCAGTGCATCAAAACTGCTTCTATTCCTAATTTCTCAAAATAAGTTAATGTTTTAAGACTCAAATTTATCATGAAGTTCATTGCTCTGTTATCTAATTTTTTTATGTACCATTCTGTGTTTCCTTTCTGTTTAGATAAATATATTTACATGCATTTTCTTGAACTAGCTGTCAAAAGTAAAATTCTGATAATCTATGTTATTCTTTGCTAGTCTTTTTTGTTTGGGGTGTGCGTGTATGTATTGTCTTTTTCCTTACTAGATTCTCAGCTGAAATTGTAATTCATTCTCTTCATTTTGCTTCTTGTTGCCAGGAGCAAAGATTGAGTATGATCTAATACTTGTGTAATGCTGTTTTTCTTTAGTGGCATGCATTTAACAAATTGTTTCAGTTGCAGGAAGATTTATTTCTGATGAACATTACCTAATTAAGCAAGAAATCAACCTTGAGAATTTAGATTGAACTTTAGACATTGGTTTCCTTGCATGGAAACCAGGCAAACTTGCTAACTGCGTGGAGAGAAATGAGTGGGATGTAAAATATTCTAATTAATTTTAAGTGTAGAATAGTGATTCTCTGTTTAAGTTGCCTCAGTTTATTGTTTTTGAAAAACATTTGTAGGCTGATAAAAGGTCTCTAAGATGAGTATTCCAGCACACCTGCAGGTTTAGAGTTGTTATGCATGTTTTTGTTTTCCCCTCAATGAGAGCTTAACTTTTCCCTTTTAAGGTAAAAGATATGTAAATGGGTGTAACCTTTTCTTTCATATTCTTCAGCATATTCTTTTTTTTTTTTTTTTTTTTCAAATTGACAACATACAAGCTTCATTTCTTTCTAGATTCCTGATCAGATGTTCTTCCACACTGACTATCGACCACTTATTCGAGACTCTAACAATTATGTCCTAGATGAGCAGACTCAACAGGCTCCTCATCTCATGCCCCCCCCCTTCTTAGTAGACGTGGATGGAAACCCTCATCCAACAAAATATCAGAGATTGGTGCCAGGAAGAGAAAACTGTGCAGATGAACACTTGATACCTCAGCTTGGATATGTAGCAACAAGTAAGAATAGTATCACTCAAAAGACCTACGTAAAGAAGTTAGAATTACTGTGGTAATTCTGAATGGGAAGAGAGTAGATGCGACATAGCTGATCTAAAAATGCTATTGTTTTCTTGTATGCTTACAACTGTAATCTATGTCCACTAAAATTGCTGAATGGTCAAACAGTAAATATTACTTAATTGAGCAGTACATACAGAAAAGTGTGATTCAAAAGGGGTGCCTTAGTTCTTGCACGTGTGTGGGGTTTTTTTTTTTTTTTTCTCTCTCTCTCCTGCTGGAGCTGCTATGGAGATACTATGATTTTTAGACTCCTGTGTCTCATAAGTAATGAGGAGTTTCAGTAATTTTCAGAATTATTCTATTCTTTTAATTTTCAAACTCATTTCCATGTGATGAGATTGAGATTAAATCGTTTCCTGTAATCAGTTAGTTAATTTGAACCTGTTCATTTTACTTGTGATTCTTATTACATTTGCAAGGTGATGGAGAAGTGGTTGAACAAGTTATAGGCCAACAAACAATTGATCAGGATGAACAAGGCATGGAGCCTAGTATTCTTGATGGCATGATTAGACAATTGCAGCAACAACAAGACCAAAGAATTGGAGCTGATCAAGAAACTGCCTCAAGTAGTCTACAAAATGGAGAAGGAACCCCTAGAAGAGGTTAGAACTTCCTATTAAATGCTTCCATGTTTATTTTATCTTGATTTTTGTTTGTTTCTTGTCATATGGCATGAAATATTTCAAACAGGTTTTAACTTGTTGAACGCTATTTTGGACACTAAAATGCCCTTAAAATAGAAATATCTGATTAAGATTATTTTTTTCTTAGTTGAAACACTGCTACTCCTGTGATTAAATTGTAAAACAAGCTCCTTCCTCCTTTCTTTCAAAAAGCCTTAATTGAATTTATTTTAGATTGCTACATATTTAAGAGTAAATGTGTGTTATTCAAAAATCAATATGGTTTTTATAAGTTCTATTTCTCTGGAGTCAGACAAAAAAACTCCACAAAACCGTTGTTCAGACTAGAGTCCAAGTTCCCTTAGAGATTTCGATGAAACGCTCCTCCTCTATGTCTCTTTGCAGTTTAGATTATATAAACACAACCTCTGACAAATGCTTTTATAGCCTGTTTAGCTTCAGAACTACCTGAAAAAAATTGAGGAGCACCCTTGGTACTATACTTTCATGTATAGGTAACTTTCATATTATGGTAGCAATTAAAATAACCATTTACAAACCATTTCTGTAATCCCAGTCTGTTTTTTACAAGACAGATCATTTCCCGAATGCGGTAACTGGATGCATGTTTATCAACATGTAGGTAAAATATGGGATATCGCTACTTTTTTACCTCTCATAAGAATAGACAAAATTCCTCTTCTCTGTAGCCTATTAAAAAAAAAAGAAAATGTGTATTTTAGCTTTTAGAAGACCAAGTTTAGACATCCAGTCTCCTCCGAATATTGGTCTGCGGCGCAGTGGTCAAGTCGAAGGAGTGCGTCAGATGCATCAGAACGCTCCGCGAAGTCAGATGGCTACTGAGCGAGACCTTCAGGCTTGGAGGCGAAGAGTCGTCGTCCCAGAAATACCACCAACCTTGCTAAGGTGTGTAGCCAACTTACTAGTTTACACCTAACACTATAGGGAACGTACCTTAGTATTATTTTTAAACCTTGTCTTATTACACTTGAATTAAAATAGATACATGTTACGAATGGAAAAACAAGTTATGTGCAGCTGTTCTTAAAACTTAATTGAAAAGTCTCTTCAAGAAACACAAATGGAATGTCAGTTTAACAGAGAGCTATTCTCACATATTTCAATATTTTTAGTTACTTTGAGAGCTTATTTCCCTGGATTCTTTCTTACCCCAGAATACAGTGGTATATGTTAAATTCATTTACATAAGTTCAGAAAGATTGTGCTTTTGTGGGACTTTGTAGTGAGCTACTTGTGATTTGTTATGACCAAGAAACATTGAGTACTTGGTAAGTTGAAGCCAGGAATGTGCTATGGATTTAAGAACAGCAGAGGTGCTTCAGTGCAGAAGCAACCAGCCTCTTCAAATGTATTGTCACTAGACACCTGCTGAAAGGAGAAGCAAGATGCACAGGTAAATATTTCCTTACGATGAAACAGCCATATGTGTTGCCACATTTATGAAAAAGTTTTTACACCGTTTTCCCAGTGTTGAATTTTTTGAGGTAGAATGGTTACAAAAGGAAAAATAGGATTTTAAAATGTGATTGAAAAAGTTGCTTATGTCCTGGTGTTTGCCTGTCTTTGAAGAAAGTCTTTTCTTTTAATATCCAGCTTCTTCAATCTACCTGGAAATGAGCAGTCTTCTTGGAAATTAACTTTCAGAATATTTTATAAAGAGCTTTTAAAAAGAACAGGCCTGTTCAACAATGTAGTTGAATTTAAGCATCTTTTCATAATTTGTTTGTAGGAAACAGGAGGAATATCGAATTGCAAAAGGAGAAGAGGAGAGAGATCTTTATGCAATGGAGAAGAAAAGAAAGTCATTCCAGTTATCAGAAAAGGTAGGCAGAAACTTTTACAAATCTGTAAATTCTTCTCCCTGTGATATGAACAAATCATGTTTGTAAGAATCGTCACATTTCTCTGAGGATGATAGTATCGTCAGAGGTTCTTGCTGGTTGTATTTCTACTTCTTAGAGCAGGACAAGGCTTATTCTTTTTTTTAAATTTTTATTTATTTATGTTTCCTGATTTTCTTTCAGGGAGCCTAGGCTCCTTCCATCTAAGATTCTTGGTAGAACAGGTGAAGGCAGAGTTAGTTTCAGGCCTTTCTGGCCTGAGAATGACGTGACTCATTGTATCTTGCAGCGCAAAACAACTCAGTGCAAAAACTACACTGGATGATACCCTTAACTAGGAAGAGTCAAGGACTTCTGGGCCTCTCAATTACATTTGTGGGCAGTTTCATGCCTTTTTTTTTTTTTTTTTTTTTTTAATATATTTATCAGGTAATTTGAATCTACCTGTCATTAATAGTAGTGTGTGTGAAGAGTGAGGTTATATTTATTTATTTATATTTTTAGAACGATGTTAAGTCATAAATTAGAAAAATACATTTTAAGCTAATGGCTTAAAGCAAAATTATTCCTTGTGGAAAGGGACTATACAATAAGGCCATTTCAGTTCAGTTCCCCTCTACAAAGGGAAGTTTGCTATGCGTGTATTCTTTTGTAACCTCTTACTTTTTGCTTTTTCTATAAATTAGAGTGACTCTGAGTCGTCATTAATACAATCTAAGCGTAGGCTGCATAGACGCAAATACCCAAATTACCGAACACGGAATAACGTTGAGCAACTTGATTCATCTGATGATGAAAGAGATGACTGCTTTGGCTTGATAGAGCAAGTAAGTTCTCTCTGAATTCTGTGCTTAAAACTCAAGTTCTTGGAAAAAGTAAAACATCCTAAAATGTACCTTTTTCTCTCAAAAATTCCTATCAGAGAAAGTATTTCTCTAAGGTTGTTACGAGTGTAAATGAGTCTCTTCTCAGAACTAGTTATTAGTAGCTTTCAGAATTGTATCAAATCTTCCCAGTCACTTTAGCAATAGTTAAACAATAATCTAAGGCAAAAATCCAATGTACAACTTTCAAGTTAGTTTAAATGGAAATTTGAATTTTAGATGCCTTTTTTATTGTTGTCCTTCGTAAAACACTTCAAAATCTTCCTGCACCTACACCTGAAAATCTGGAAAATGTGAGAATACTTGATAAAGACCTTTTGCCTGCTTTGGTGTCAGACGCTGTAATAGACACGTGTGATAGGACTGCCTTGGACTTGTGCTGCTCTTACTTGAGCACAAAGGAAGAGTGGGTCAAATGGAGAGGAGGGAAGGAGGGGGAGAGTTGAGAGGTTGCCATGTATTCAGGAAGAGGGCTTTTGTCAGTCAGACCTGTCTTTTATTCAGTACTCTCCATTCTTATTTATCAAAGTAAAGTGGGAGAGTCAATAGCTGAGAAGATAATTTTGTAACACAGTTGAAGAATGATATTCTTTGGAGCTGGACTTTTACCTTCTAGTCTCTTAAAGGATTTTTTTTAAGTTACTTAGAGGTGTGGGTTTATTTATTTTTGAGAATACGGTGAAGGGGAGTTGTGAGGAAACTTTTGGCACCCGACAGAAATTCAAAGCACTTAAGTAGCAGCTAAGCTATGCACAGCTTTGAACTTAAATACGTGCTTGAAAATGCCCAATTACTGTTGGGTCAATCAGATGATGCTAAAATCAGAAAAAAATCCATACACATTACTTGTATAAATAGTAAATGAAAATAAAGAATTTTCAGAAATACCAGTTCTGTAACAGATTATGCCATTTTATGTGCACATGGAAAATGTGATAAGCTTCTCTAAATGTTCCTCTTAACTTTTAAATATTTCCTTTACATTTTAGTGAGCTAGGTTTTATTGTATGTTTTCTGTGTCTTAATTGGATCATCATAAGTCTGTAAATCAAAGCAATCAAAATCACCAGTAAATTTTTTCTGGCAAAAAAAAAAACAGCATTGCCATGTGGTAGGGCAGGGACTGTTGCTTTCTTGGATGAGTAGTTGACAGTTGGATCTTATACTTAGCTCATTAGGTGTAGGTGGATGGATAGAGGTTAAGGACTAATAATGCACTCTTAAAGTTAATACCAGACAAGGTGAAAATCTTGTTTTGCTTGTTTGTTTTAACCAGGCAAGGCAAATATTTTCCTAACTTTGTAATATGCAGGCATGAAAAAATAATGTTTTATATTTAAAGATGGTTAAAACATATATGACAAACTTAAGAGTTGATACTAAATTATACTTTTTCAACTCAGGAAGCTGAAGAAAGTGAAGGCTCTGGCTCATCTGATGAAGAGGAAGAATGGAGAAGTGACAAAAAAAGCAACAGTAACAGTTCTAGGTAAGGAAGAAAAGGCATCTGTTATCATCATGATTTTTGCTTGAATTTTGGTAAATGAAAAGTGTGAAGTTCTAGCATGAATTCATAAGTAATAATGCATGATTATATGAAAAAAACATACTATTATATTGCTTCGTTGTAGTGTTCCTTTTCACCTTTCACAAAAATGTTGCTGTTTTGATGAACCTTCAAGTGTGTGTGTGTGTGTGTGTATTTAATGATAGGTGGCAAGGAGAAAGAAGATAGAATTTTTTGATATGCTTTATTGATATATATTTTTTTTTTCCTGAGGAACCCAGCAACAATCAGTTGTTTGATCTTACAAAAATGATTCAGTCTTAAGCAAAAAAAATCATAATTTTGGTGAATAGTATTGTCTTTTTATTTAGAACTAAATTTGTGGTTAAATTTTTATATTTTTTCAATACAGGTTTCTAGATTTTTTTTCCTAAACTCTGCATAGTAGAATTAATAAATACTATTAAGTATAAGCAAAAGTGTGCCTGTGTGTAGCTGTCTTTAAAAACTTTATTTAAGTGTTATTTATTTAAGCATGCTCTTTAAGGAGGATGCTTCATTGGTCCAAAAATTTGTTGGTATATATTTTCTTCAGTAAAATTGGTGACTTCAAAATCTACCAGGCCTGACTTTTCCGGGGAAATAAAAAAGTGCTTTGCATTGTGTGTGTGTGTGTGTTTTTTTTTTTTTTTTTTTTTTTTTTTTTTGGGGTGATGTGTTTTTTTTGTTTCCAACCCCTCCCCCGAGCAATAATCTGTGAATATTTGCCTAAGATAACTTATCATTCTGAGATATTCAAAATGTCCACTTGATTCCATGGTTGTATTTTCCTTTTCTGCCTGTTTTCCCCTGCCCCGTGGACAGTGATTCTTCAAGTAGGTACTCTGACTGGATCGCTGATGCAGGGATTAATCTACAGCCTCCTGTACGGACTTCTCGAAGGAAAGCTATCAGATATTGCAGTACTTCAGAAGATGAAGTATCAGCAGAGAAATCATCTCCTCCAAAGAGAAGAAGAAGAAAAAGAAGAAAAAAGCCCAAACCAAAAAAACAGGAGGAGGTATTATACATTTGGTTCCTTCTACTCGCTTACTGTTAAATAGGGTTCTGACCTCTCGTAGGGTTCAGACCTCTTTCCAATGGCTTTTGCCTTTTATTGGGTGAGGATGTTGCTGTCTCTAATAATAGCTGTCATAAAATAAACCTCAGGTTTCAGCTTCTCCAGAATTCCCATGTGCTGTTGTCTTTTAATTCAACAGTCAACAGATTCTGCTTTTACATAAATGTGATATTCTTGCTCTTTTCTGCTCTCTTGGTAGCTATTAGTATACACAAATATTTTTAACTTAGTGTAGATAATAGCTCTGGTGTTTTTTACAGCTATGTAGTAGTATTCATAGAGAAATCTTACACACAATATTTAATACCATCTCTACAGAGCTTTGAAAGTACCAAACTATCCAAATATAGGACTTGGAAGTTTAGCACTTTTCAAGTACCTCTCATAAAACTCAGCATGGTTCATCACTTGGCAGCATGTTCAAAGCAACAGCAAATCTTAGTATGAATTGTTTTTGAGACTCAGGTTTTTTTTCAGGCTTCACATACAGTGTGCCTTCATTTAGTTTGAGAAGATTTCAAAACTTCTCAAAATAGAGAGTAATCAAAAGATATGTAGTGAATTGTTTGGAAGGATCTGCTCTAGAAGCTGTCTCCCATTTTGAAATAAAAGGGGTGAAAAGCTGTTGGACCTAGTCTGGTTTTAAACATTCTTTCCTGAAGATCTGTGGAATGTAATCAGTGTGTTTTATAATGTCCATTGATAGCTGGGTTGAAATTTCTTAAGTCCTTTAGTAGAATAAAGAAAAATATCCTTGACTGTCTTCTAACTTTAGACAAAAAATGTTTTGAGCGCTTTGATAACTTTTGTATGCCATTTCATCCACTCCAGATATTTCATAAAACAATAGTTTTGAAATTGTCTTTGCACGGATATTTACTGAAGAAGTACTTGGATTATTTGACTGTTACCTATGATATTATGTTAATATTGCTTCAAAAGTTTAGTGTTGTCTCTCTTTAAAGGTGCTCTTGATGAGCAGGATTAACTTGTCTGCCTACAGAATGGACTGACATGAGGATAAATGTTGTCAAATTACTTAGTTTCTGAATGTGCATAATGACTATGCAATATCTTTCATAGTTTTTCATCTTCAAATAACTTCTTGCAGCTTGTTAGATTTTTAGTTAGTCACTGAGGATACTGTCTAAATTGTAACTCATGGTTCTAGGGATCTGCATAATAGTTGCCTTGCTTACTCAGATGTTCATGCAGAACAAGAATACTTCATGTGGGTACTACAAATGTACTTAGAACCAAAGCAAAGTCTAAGAAGAATTTTGGTAATAGGTTTTGGAAATGTATGTTAGTACATGGCTTAAACTTGTCTGGTCAATTAAAACTGAAAATTGTTTTGATGTCATGCCAAGAGAATGTCTCATATCTGTTTTTACTGTTTATTAAATGTGAAGGCTGATGCTCCAACACAGCCAGCCGACTCGGATTTGTCCTATGATTGGCATCCTCCTGTTTGGATCACAGACACAGCTCTTAGACGATCTCCGTTTGTACCTCAGATGGGCGATGAGGTAAAAAAAAAAAAAAAAAAAAAAAAAAACTATAAAAGCTTGTTACTTGTACATTAGCATAGTTGTTAAATACAGAAAAAACACATTTTTTTTGCTTTGCCTTTAAAGGTAATATATTTTCGACAAGGTCACGAGGCTTACATTGAAGCAGTTCGAAGAAATAACATTTATGAGCTGAATCCACACAAGGAGCCATGGAGAAAAGTAGTCCTTAGGGTAAGACTATCTTGAAGGTTTGCAAATAACATTCAGGTACCTGTGGGAAGCCTGAATGCAAATACTGTCTTAAAATTGCTGAGATGAAAGGCTGTCTTCTATTGAAATATTGCCTACAGTTTTTTACATATATCTGACTTTTTGGATGTGCATGCAATGTGAAATTAAGAGTTTTGCATAACGCAGAAGAGAATGCATTCATGAAATTCTTCATTTTTACCTGTAGGATCAGGAGCTGGTAAAAATTGTTGGAATTAGATATGAAGTTGGTCCTCCCACGCTGTGTTGCCTCAAGCTTGCTTTTATAGATCATGCCACTGGAAAACATACAGACAAATCATTTTCCATCAAGTATGTCCATCTTTATTTTCCTGAAAACATATTCGGAAATACAACCCTTTATAAGCTTCTCCTAAAGCCTTGAAGTTGCATGTATAAAAGCAATTTCTCTATCTAGATACCACGATATGCCGGATGTTATCGACTTCCTTATACTGCGTCAGTTCTACGATGAAGCACGGCAAAGAAACTGGCAAGCTTGTAAGTCAGTTTTCTAAGTATTTGACCAAAGAATTTTGAAATAAAAAGGGTGGTTGAAACTATTCATGGCGCTATTGGAAATTTTGGGTGGATTTCCGTAGATTCAAGATGAAGCCTTTGAAATATGTTGCAATTCTATTCTTTTCTTGTTTTATAGTTGAAGTTAGCCAGCATATTTAGATTTTTAGCTTTTGCAATTTTATCTTGTGTCTTCGGAGGGCTTTTTGGTTTGTTTTTGCGTCGTAGGTCATTTTATCGTAGGTTGTCTTATTTTATTGAATTACTAATTTTAGAACTTTAAAATAGGCTGATCATAAACATCTATAGTTACACAGCTCTTATTAGTAAAATATGACGGGCTTTTTTTTTTTTTTTTTCCCTGTAGCTGACAGGTTCCGCTCCATCATTGATGATGCCTGGTGGTTTGGGACAGTGTTGGGCCAAGAACCGTACCAGCCTCAATATCCAGATAGCCACTTCCAGTGTTACAGCGTTAAGTAAGTATAAAAGGATTTTACGCTTTTAAAATCACTGATGCGGCTAAAATCATCCATGTGGATTGTCTCTTATACAGCTAGACTGTTGAGATAAGAATTCTCAAGTTGTTTTAAGTGATTTTATTGGTTGTAACATTACTTTGCTTTAAGTCACTGATTGAGCATGAAGTGAATATGTAATATTTTAAGGCAAATTTTTAATAAGTGGTGATGTAGTAAAACAAGTCACTGAATCTTTGCAAAACTGTGAATTGTTTTCTGTAATGACCATTGGTGAACTGCTTTTGTGATGCATGCATGCATCATGATGCAATGCATTACACACACAGCATGGTTACTATAAGCAATTGCCAGTGGATGTAAATTACTCACGATGACTAGTTTTGGTTGGGGCACACTGAATCTCCTCTGTTTTGTTGAGCTAGGTGATCCTTTTTGTGCTTAATTTGTACAATCTTGTCTTTCCTGTCTTCTGCGGGAGCAAGTATACCTATAACATGGTTGTGTACTTAATTGTACACAACAATTAAGACTCACCTGACTTTTGGACCTTGTTATCCCTTCATGCTGGATACATGAAGGTAAAGGCAGAACTTCAGTCTCTTAATGGCCTGATATACTGGTCTGCCAGATTCTGTTACGTATATCCTGCCTGTGGTTTCACCTTCTCATTTCCAACTGGGGTGGTGTTTAGCTGGATAACGGTTTTAGTCCTGTGTTACTGGTGAGAGACAAGTATCTCTGACAAGTCTACCTGTCAAATCCCAGTTGTTCTGCCTAGATGAAGGCATATGGGACAGATGGTCAATTCACTGTGCAGTGGAGGGCATTAGAGTAGAAAAAAAGAACTGCTTAAACCAGAAAGGCCAGGAACGTTGAAGCCTAACTGGCAAAGGAGGGTTGGACCCATGCTCCTTGATCCGAGGCATGTTACCAACACATGTCCTGTTACTGTTCTGCCCTGTGTGGCATTAGCACTGCTCTCGTGCACCTTCTTTCATATGGACAAAGATCCTTCACGCAAAGGGAAGAAGGTTAAACAAAGATAACTCTGGACCTCTATCGTCAGAATCAGGCTATTCTCCCTGTCCATGTCGTCTGGGGTGGCTCTGGTGTCCTTGGATCCCCTCGCAAAAGAGGGACCACAAGGAGGCTAACCTTGCTTACGGTGCACACTGCATGCTTTGGACTGCAGTTCCTGCCTAGTATCTCTTCCATTGTTATGTAAAATAATACACCAAGTAAACATCCACGGAGTCTGGATGTTGCTATCAAAATAATATTAGAATTATATCTTATCTCAGAGCACTTAATTTATATTTGTTAAATAGCTCAAATCGTTTTGTGTATTGCTGTACATAACGTATTATCTGTATGTTATACCTTTCATGTGTTTCTATATATTAACACTGTTACTCCTTAAAGTAAGTGTAAATGGAGTTTTTAGTTTCTTTCAGAAATCACTTTTTTGGTAAATGGGAAAGAGATTGTAACTTATTTTCCTACACTCCCTTATCTATGAACGCTAAAGAATATTTCAGCATCTTTACCAACTTTTAAGGGCAGAAGGTCCAGAGCTGCCTTGAAGTTCATTTAATTGGTAAGGAGTGCGAGATCTCTTTAAAGATCTATGCTGCATATGGGGAGAATGTGAATGTTTCACCTCTGCTCATGAACAACTTCTATGTTGATTTCTAAGAGTTTTGCATACATTTTGCAAACTTTGTTATTTGACAGAGTGGGGGTTTTTTTGTTTTGTTTTTGTTTGTTTGTTTTTAGTTTTAAGGATTTGAGCATAAGGTGCAAGATCTGTGAGGATTCCTAAAATATATAGTATGTAATTGCCCCTCAAATAGACTAAAGAATTACTGTCGTCTCCTGTCTCCCAGCTCCCATTTCATTCTCAATAGTCATCTATTCAGGGGAAAAGAAATGCAAGTGTATGACAGTGTCTGGACTGTTTTGTAGGTATAGGTAGCTTGACAAGATTAGTTGATCAAATTATCTTGCTGTGGAACAGTGAAAGTTGCTTTTTAAATTGTGCTTGTATACTCTATAGAGATTTTTCATTTCACTTCACTTTTGCATCTCTTAAATGAAAGAAAACAAGAAGCCTAACCAAAAGTCTTTTATTTTGCCTTGGGAGGGGAAAAAATGCAGAAAGCTGCCTCTGTTCTTCAGTCAGAATCTGGGTTATGGTGCTTTGTTATAATCTCTGCATAATCTTGCTAATCCATCTGAGTTTGGGCATCTGTGGTTATTCTTTGTTTGTGAGACAAAGAGCTTTATTAGAATTGCAGCGTTATTTATTTTATAGAGGAAACACTCTTTGAAAGATGGCTTCAGAACAATAGATGGAGAGTGCTAGAAGCCTGATTTGAATGAAATGGAGGGAAATAATTGCTCCAAAATTGTTAATTATCGACTCTTCTGTGCTATTCCTTTCAATACATTAAAAACCTTCCCAGCAAGCAGGTCGTTGCACATTAAGAAATTATTTCAAATTAGCACCACCGCTGCTGTATAGTTACTAAATAGATGGAAGCTGTGTAAGCTGAACGTTTAAAGTTTTTGGTTGGCCTAAAGTAAGCATTTGTATAGAATTTGTATAGATAAAGATGTATAGATATATACATCAAGCTTTCGGTAGATACCTAGATAAATGGAGCTTAAGCTTAGCTAAACTATGTTGATATCCTTCACATAGGATACACAATACAGTGTATACATTTATTAATATCAGTAGCTTCTGAGGTGTATACACTGTATTGTGTATCCTATTTATTAATATCAGTAGCTTCTGAGGTATTGTATGTTGACTGGGGCAGAGAACGTCTGGTATACAAGCCTTCGGAAACATGCGAGTTCATAAACATCAAGCAGGCAGAGTGTGGATTGAGCAAAGTTGCTAGATTTACAGGTAGCTCAAAATAATAGAGGTGTTCTTACCTAAGCAGTATTTTAGTTATAAGATATTATGAGGAGGATTATTGAATTTCCAGTTTCATTGTTAGGTAAATACATAGGGAGTGTGAGACCAGGTATGTCGGTTCAGTTGTATTGAGTCACAGGAATTGCATGATGTTCACCAAGTTGGTGGAAGAAATCACATTAGAAACTGCTGGCAAAGTTGCAGCGTGCGCCACGGTTGGGCACAGAGGCTTGTCTGTAGGCACTAGTACAGAAGCAGTCGGGACAGTCATCCAAGGGGAAACCTGCCAGCTACAGACCAATGTACCTGGCTGGTCACACGGGAGGCTGCGGAACCACCTATTAGCAGGCTCAGAAAGATAATGGACAAATTCAAGGCCAGCAGGCTCTTACACAGATCCTAAAGGCAGTAAGTTGGGATGCATTCACCAACACCACAATGCAGTTATCGCTCATGTTGGGAGGATGAGTTGTACGGACTAGAGCCAGGCTCTTAAGGCCTCCCTGGGTCACATCATCTACTGATAATGTTAAGGACAGATTCCTGGTTTAGCTCGAAGACTGAGCTGATACAGTAGGGTGGTTTTTATGTTTGAAATACCATAATTTGTTGATTGTTTTGCTGTTGATGTAAGCATTCAAAAATTGGCCTAGATGTGTTGTGATTTCGAGAGATGTCATTGTTAGTGTATCCTTTAGGTTGCTGTTTTAGTAGTGCTGTAAATTATTTTTATTTTGGATCAGTTCATATAGCCAAAATCAGGAACACAATTTTAATTAGATATTTATTAAGAAGAATGGTTGCTTTATGCACTGTGGCAATCTAATAGCTGACTAGTGCTCTTACTTACATGCTCTCATATGGTGTATTTCATTAACGTTTAAAACAGCTGTGGTGAAGAATTGTGGGGAAAAAAATGTTTTAAATAAGCTTAAAGGAAATGCTTCTGAGTTAGACTAGCTGTAACTTTTTTTTTTTTCTTTCTTGATGATTCAGATGGGACAATGGTGAAAATGAAAAGCTTAGTCCGTGGGACATGGAGCCAGTCCCTGATAATGGTATGTGGAAACTCCCTTGAGAGATCAGTTAATATGCTTCTCCTTCTTCAGATAATTTGTTTTCTGCAGCTGAAGGACCTTAAATGATTTTTATCTCTCTTGTGATTCTGATCTTCTGAGCACAATATTCACTCCATACATCTACTTAACAGGTAGAATTGATAGGGCAACAGTAATCTTCAAATTGAAGAGAATGTCAGCTACTTGGCTTGATGACCTTTTTCCTCCCTTTGTAAGCAAGAACATTCTTTAATGTAGTTTTCCTTCTGAATTAGCAAAACACCTTGGATACCCCTTTACTTTTTTTCTGTTAAGTTTTCTGTCTTCCAAAACTACTTTGGAGGAAATACCCCAAATGTGTAGCTCAAGCTTGTACAATAAAGCCTACTCCTTCTAAATGTCAATTTTCTTACAATCTTGTATATTACTATAAGAAAAACTAAGTTGTTCTAATATAGTAGAAGGAATATATATTATGTGCATACATAAATGCACATGCACTTAAATAATTTCCAGTCTGGAAATTCTTACTGCAAATACTTAACAAGCTGCACTTCATAAGGCTTATGGTCAAATTCAAATGAGTTGTGAATGAAACAATTAGATTCTTGGTTTGTCTAACTCAGTTCAATTTTCTTTCACTTGTCAGTGTCCACTTTGGGGAAGGAGATTTGCAAAATACAGGAAAGTAGAATATTCCGTCAAAAAATCCTAATTTCCCCAATCACCTCCTGGGAATTAGGTTGCATCCCAAACACCAGAAGGGCTTCTTTTTTTTTTATTTTTATTTTTTATTTTTTATTTTTTATTTTTTATTTTTTTCTTAAATACCAATATGTTGCACACATGGATGTTCTCAGTAGCTGCATAACTGTCTCATCTTTGAAGTATTAACTAGATGCTTCAGTCGTATCTTGAGATGAAAAATTCTGCAAAAACAGCTTGAAATCAAAATGTGACATTGTCTTTCTGTGTTTTAAGATATTGAAAACAAGAGACTGGCAGGATTTTTTTCTGTAGATTTAACTGAAATGTTCTGTTGACTTTTCTTGTCACCATTGTGTGACCCTTTCCATTGTACAGCAGCTTCTTGTCTCAGTTTCTTTGTTGTCAAATTAATACTTCCCATATGGATCACATGGAGACATCTGAGTTATTGTCAGAGTCTCTGGAACAAGCCTACACATGAACTTAAGTTGTGTGTTGTTTCATTCCTGTTTAGATTTTATGCGTATTAATTATCATCATTTTTTCTTCCTCTGGATTGAAATGGGAAGTTTAATGTTCTCAACTACTGAAGCTTGCCTGTGCAGTGATTATAGTCTCGTTAGCCCGTATAGTTTCGTTGTAATAGTTCTGTATGTAATAGTTCCATAATACTGACATCCTACAAACACAAGTTTAATCCTGGATGGTATTACATACGTAAGTCATCATCTACTGGCTGTGCCAGAGGCAAGTTACAACTTACTTGTTTGATCTAGTAGGTCCTTCCTCTACCACATTAAAGGCTCAAGAGTTGGTTGATCTGAGAAGCCATGACTTTATCAGAGGAGAATGTGGGGAAAAATAAAAAGAAACTAAAAGGTTGAAGGGAAAATAAAAAGGAACTAAGAGGTTGAAACTTCATACAACTTCTGGGGACAAAGTTAAAGGATGAGAAAAAGAGAGGATGTTGAAGTTGATTAAATAGAAGACTACAACTTAGTTATTGGCCTTTCGTATCCTGGCAGGTGTAAATTTTTTCAGAAGCAGATGCCAAACCCACTGTGTCAGGGACAGTGTTGTCAGGACCATAAAAGGTGATGGATGTGGACCTGAAAGTTTGTTTTTCAGTATCCTGCTTGCTGAAGTGTCCTTGTTTGGGTTGGCTGTTGTCTTTTCTAGGTATCTGTAACCCTTGTACCAAGGGTTCAGCTTTCTCTTGTGACCCTGTTTCCTCCTGGGGACTGGATCATCTGATCTCACACGAGTGTGCTAGTGATGATGGCAGCTCTGCTGTGTCACATGGATCAGGGTGTTGTGAAGAACACAGAGCAATGCACAAAGTCCATGCTTAATGATAAGCTACTTAAAGAGAAAAAAAAAAAAAAAAAAAAAAGTTCTACTTTAGTTGTTACTTTTCCAGGGGAAAAAAATCCTTCTCAAGTGCTGATGCAATAGAAAGACTACCACACACCATACTACATTTTTTGATTTGATCCCCTATATGCGGGTAGAATTACTTGCTCTTTTTTGCTAGTGTTGTATCCAGGGGTTTTGGTTTTTCTTTCAACTCAAAGATCAGTTAGAAGGATTATCCAAGCAAGATACTTCTGCCCAATCTTTTGCTAGCGCCTGGAGCTTCTCCATGTTTCCAAGGTCAGAGCAGCTTATTTTCAGTCTTACTTGAGAGACTAGCAAATAATATTAACACTTTGGTAGTGCAGTAGTGGGCCGAGAACTGAAAGTGATTCTGAGTCATCAGGACTAGTCATGTTTGTTTGAGGGAAAAGTAGTCCTTAGTAGTCGCTAAAGCTTGTTTAGGTTATTTTGACTCTACATATTTTATAATGTGTTTGTGTAATGGTATGTTAAACATACACCATACCATATAGTATGTCTGTGTATACATACACATATACACACACACTATATAGTTTATATATTTTAAGAATTTATTCGTAGAATGCAATCACTTTAACACTGACATGAGGGACCCGCCCTCCATCTTTCTTGCTCTCATTTTTAACAGATAATCTCTTGGATGCTAATGGGCATTGCTGCTGCTAGCTTCTAGTCATGAGCCTGTACACTGACTCTTCAATGTTCATCTGCCATTTTAACTGCCATTTCACTTGTCCCATTCTCTGCAAAGAAAGATGAATTGACCTTGACTGCCCACAGCATCCAATTAGGAATCTTCATTAGCTTGTTCTTACAGAAGTCTGCTGATTACATGAGGGACTTAGCTTTTCAGGAGTAACAACAGTGTAAAACAGAATTTGAAGATGTGCTAGGAACAATATGCAGAGGGGAAAAATGCCCAGGGATAACATTTATTCAGCTATTCTATGTTAGTTGGCTGCCTCTGGAAACGTGACTTGCTCAGAACCTTAGATACATCTAGTCTGTATATTTCTGCAAGTTTTTATTTCTTTTAAATTCACTCCATTGTCCATATTCAAAACTTACGATCAAAAAATATCCAAATGGTCATGGTTAAGAATTTTAGGAAGGATGTTGCAATGTATGTTGCCTTTTTTGAGTGTTTAATGGTTGAGGGTACAAATGAACTCATTAAACTTATAGATTTGCATATATGCTTTTGTTTTGAATGCCCACCCTACCCTTCACCGGGTCATAACTTGGTTTCAGCTCTCTTTTAATGAGAGAAGATTAATAATTAGATGAAGAGACGTAATACTCTTGAAATTCAGAACTGCAGAAAAGGTCAAAAGATGGCTTGTATGTGTTTTGTGTATTTCTCTTCCCCATAGTTCTCCATCAAGCTCCACTTTATGTAAGGAAAGACTTTTAGTCGTATATGTGCTTGTAGATATATGATAGTATGTCGTTTTGTGTTCTCTGTTCCCGCTTCCCTGTTTGCTACCACTCCTCAGTTGATCAGCCTGAAGAATTAGGGGCCAGCGTTTCCGTGACTTTTGACGAGATGGAGAAGCTGCTGTACAAGCCCCAGGAAGGGGAGTGGGGGATGCGCTCTCGCGATGAAGCCTGTGAGCGGATTATCAGTGGTATCGATCAGCTGCTGACTCTGGGTGAGCATGTCATCTAAGCGGGAGGGATTTTTCTGTTGGCATTACATTTTATAAATAGATCCCTGGCTTATGCATGGTATTTTCTAAAAATGAGCTGTGATGAAGTACTATGAAGGTTAATGTTTTTATATGCAGTGTTCTTAGAGTGCCTATACTCAAGAGATTTTGGGTTTTGACCATGGTTAATTTTATCAGATATGTTCATGCAAATGCTACGTATGGTTTATTCAAGCATGTGTGCATACAGATCTTTAATGAGTTTTAATCTCGCTGTTTTGTACAGACATGTCAGCAGCTTTTGCTGGTCCCGTTGATCTGTGTACATATCCCAAGTACTGTACTGTGATTGCTTATCCAACAGACCTAAACACTATTCGGACAAGACTGGCAAACCGATTCTACAGGTTGGTACTAACAGCAGAAAGCAGGAGGAATATCGAATATGGCCTTGAGCTTGTACCTTGTGAAAAGACCTAAACTCCTTGGGGAAGAAGAGCAATTTAGACTGCTTATAAATCCTGTGAAAACCAATAGTCTTCTCTGTGAACTTAAGCATTGCTAGTATTTTGTAGCAGGGCTCTGATATTCGGCAGCTAGAATATTAATATTCATATGCATCTGATTTCTCCTGAGGAAATTGATTTTAGTCTGTATTGATACTGATTTCAGAGTTGTAATGAACATGGGAGTTGTTTTTATGCAAAACTTGCGTTTTGGAAATTAGTAAGCCTGTAAAAAATGGGAAGATATTTTGTTTCTGGATTTGAGATCGTAAAAAATGGGAAGATATTTTGATGCTGAAGCATTAGCATCATTTTGATGCTGAAGATATTTTGTTTCTGGATTTGAGA